CAAGTTTGGGAGGATGCCAAGAGCATTTTGCGATGAGTTTGAAACAGAAAGTGGCACTAACTCTGAAATTGGGCTGGTGAATAGAGGGTTTGACGACAATAAAGAGCACTCTGGAAAGTTCCACTCGCCTATCTTATTACAATGCATTAGCAGTTGAGCAAGACCAAATGCTTTCGTACGTCGTTTCAGGCATACATAGAAACAGTTCCACTCGCACTGACATGACCGGACAAACCCTTTTTTGAGAACATTCATGACGTACGCACACATAAAAACACAACGTGGCTAGCAGACGACGTAAGGGGCAATTCACACTTCACCGTTTTGGCCAGCTGCCGCCAGGCAGCGACTCTGCTTGATCTCGCGTCCAATAACCAGTATTGCTGTGTAGTTGAAAAACGCCCCAAGTACTTCAATTTCCCTTGGTGGCTTGACCGGTGAGAACAGCGGTGAAAATTAGAGCGAAAACTTTAAAATCGGGGTCTTTCGAGCCAAAACTGATAGTGTGGGAACCTGGATGAATTATGACCACCGAGGCTGCTTCAATAATCACTTAGATTTAAGTAAACTGAGTGATGTTAACTGTTAACACAATCAAACTAGGGGCCTCATGCTCACTAGTCATCATGGCAGATACAAAAGCTTTGTTAAACACGTGGAATAAACCCAAGACATCACAGTCACAAGCTAAACTATTAGTACAGTCTTATGCTTTCTGGAAAGTACAGATGGTGATTTTTTAATTTATTTTTGTGCACAATAACTGTTTCCAACCTAAATGTATGATTGAGTAAAAGATTACTGGTGGAAAAAATTGCACCTCTTCATTATTTGATATTCGATTCGTATTCGAAGCTATGTATTCCTATTCAATCCATATTCGAAAATTTTGATATTTGCACACCACTACTTATAAAATGTCAATGTATTTAAGATGTCAATGTTTATTTCAATATAACTACTTAAAAACAAGGCAACAATATGAGCACTGGGATCTCACAGCAAATCTAGCAAAAAGGCAAACATTTTGCAGCACATCTTGCATGAATCGGTGTCACGAAGGCTATTTGCAGTTAAAGGCATGCAAGCATGGCTATTAAGAAGGCATGCAACAGGCTACTAGAAACGTGAGCCCAAGCTACACTACGCCTAATCTATGCTATGCCTAAGCAAGGAAATTACTGGCCAGCTAAAAAACAAGACACACAGCTGAACAAAAACCACATGCTAGTAAATTACACAGCAATGCCATATTCAGTTTTGTTCTCCTCAACATAAAAAAACTAAGCCTACTATTACAGCAATAACTTTTTTACTGTCGGGTGTTTCTGCCCAACACACACCCCCAAGTGTCTGCTACATTTAAAAAATATCAGGGAAGCTTGAAATAATCAACTTTTTCAACATCCCATTAAAAAGTTGCCCTCGTGAATGGTCCAGAGCATGACACATTGAAAGGAAACAACATGGCTGAGAAATCTCCTTTTTTTTTACACATTTTCAGTTCACTGTGCATGCTTACAAGACCATGACCCAACCGCTACAACCTTATTATCTATTGTTGACAAGGGGTAAGTGAAACAAGCGGCAAATGGCAGAGCAACTCTTGTACCCGTAGTCATTCCCTAGTACCCATATTAGGCGCATTCGCCGCCCAGTCCCAAAGTTCGAAATAGTAGCCCAAGCAGAGTGGCCATACCACCGGGAAAGAACGGAGGGCATGATTGCTCCATGCTCTTCAATATACATAACAGCACAGTGTCGGGTGAAAATATTTAGAAAGATTTGACAGGTGGCACAACCAGTAAAAACATGCCAGCTTTGCCAGCTTTGTGCTTGGATATGAAATTATTAATGCACAATGAACAGCATACCGATACATCAGTGACAGTGAAAGGGTTGAATAAATGAATGACATAATCTAACCACTTTCTTATGCACCAATAAAGCCGAACTCACAGCAGCATGATGGTGCACACACATGCCCTACAGCCTATCTTGACTTCTCAGTACAAGTTCAATAAGACCTGTTCAAGAAAACCAGTTCAACACTGCATCTAATATGCTTGAAGCACACTACAGCCAAACCCCTTTATAAGAGACACTGATATAAAAGACAAATGATGTGGGGTGCTAACACCCCCTGTAAGTCGTTTATGCCTTGTGGCACACATGTTTCAAGCATAGGCTGCATTTCGGGTTAACAACTACCGAGCGGTAGGTGGCGTTGTGTTAGCGAGTGTTTATCACCACCATCATCATCATGGTTAAAACGATGGCGCTGACAGTGACGCCTGACGGCAAGCCTTGGTGGCGGAACGGGAGAGATGAACGGTTCTCTTTGGCGTGTGGTGGTTGGAGCGAGCAGTTGGCTCTTGCATTGGGCCTTTGTAGACAGCACCGCGGGCCACCTGCTGGCGGCCCTCGTGATCAGTCAGGCTTTAGTGATGCTGCCTTGTCTTTGTCATGTTGTTTGAGTGTTGTGGAATATTGTGTAAGGTTTTTTAGCGTGTTGATCACAATTGATGTATATTAATTATGCTAGCGATATCGTCATTCTAAAAACAGTTAAATAAATGTGTGTTCTTTGTTTTAGTCCGACCGTGTCTACTGTGTCTATTCACTCCAAGAGCGTGGAGCTCTCCATATCAAGACCCTACAATGGGTATAAGAAACAACAGTGGGCCTACAGTAAAATACAGGTCTATAAGAAAATGCATATGAGGTACCCTGCTTATAAGAGACATCTCATATAAAAGACCAGAATTCCTGCCTGGAGCATGCCTCTTATAAAGGGGTTCAACTGCATATAATGAATAGGCAACACAATGTTAGAAAGAAAAAGAATTAAGGCACAAAAGCATACAAAAAAGAAAATTAGATCCAGTAATGTCACATCTATTATGTGTGGTTAGTGAGTGATCGTTCATTACAATGTTATGGAATGAGCCATAAACTTAATTAGGTACCTAGAATAAAGATCGACTGAACTATTTTTTAAAGATGATTACTTTTCAACCAAGCATTTATGCTTGATTCAAGTTCATAAGTATCATTGTACACCTTAAAGCATGGGAGGAGCAACATATTTTTGCTTTCTAAGAGCATAACATTGCATTCTGCAGTATGTAAAGCATGAAGTTCATATCTAAACTGGATTGCACTGCCCGAGAATTCATGCCCTCTTAACAGCCCTATTACTAGGTTGGGCCAGTCTTGCAAGTTATCACAACAAAAATACGACTTTACAGTCATCATAATCATGCCTGACGTCTCACTACGCCCATTGCATGATTTTCTGCCAATAAACTTGGTCCTGCACGTTCTGCTACCATGTTATACCAGCCAATGTCTTAATCTCATCTGGCCACTTAATTTTTTGTCTCCCCATCCCGCATTTGCCTTCACTAAGAATCCCATCAGTTCCACTTTAATGACTAGGGGTTATCCTGCCTATGTTCTACATGCCTGCCCATGTCCATTTCTTCTTCTTGACCAACGATGCAGCAATGGTGCAGAGGTAGAGGATTAGCCTAGTATAGGAGGGATCATTGTTCAAATCACAGTACCGGACATATCCCAACGACATTAAAAAAATTAAGTCTGTGTGATGATGAAATTGCATGAAAAGGCCTGGGGTGCAACCACAGTTGGTAATGCCCTCCCTCACCAAGGAAGGATTGGCCACCCTGGTGCAGCACTACCTTCCACATGAATACACCAATTAACAGTCATGCCACACAGCTACGTTTGATGCACTTCTTGTGGCGGCAAACATGTTGAATGGCAACAACTGAAGTATCATGCTTAAAAGGGCCCTGAAACACCTTTTAAAGTAACCATTAAAATGGATTCATCTCAGAGCTTATTGCCTCCCGAATTCAATGCCGCAAAAATTTCAAGAAGTTACAGATTTGTCGCACGATGCAATCGCATGCTCTCTTCTCTCATCCTGACGAAAGTGCTGGAAGCTAAGCAGGGAGGGATGGCAGGGGCAAAGAAAAGATGTCACGTGCGCTTCGTGACTTTGAGCACTTTTTTATTTTTTTGAATACGCGGCTTTCTCAGTGTCATCGCCCACGCACGTATGGACAAGTCGTGGCTTCCCACGGTGGCCTCTGTAATGACCGAGCGTGTCATGCTCAAATCGGCCAATAGCTGATGGATGGCCTTCTACAAGTGATTTTTGAGTGTCTTTTGTCATTTGTCGAGAGAAGAGAAAGCAATTTTTAACTGACTTTGATAATTTATTGTGAATTCAAGGCCACAAGCTGCACTATAACATTTGGCTCACATGTTCTTGGTAACCTCTACTACTCATTCGCAGCGTTTTCTGACCATGCTCAAAAAGTGTTGCAGGGCCCCTTTAAGAAATACTGATACCATTTTTCGAATACGAGTTTACTCTCGCATATAAATCTCCTGCATACACAGAAGGCTTTGAGCAATTGCAAATGCTGTAAATGCTCAGCAATGGCTAATAAAATATATCGGTTTGACAATAAAGTCTATCTTCTCAAGGTGCAACTATCGACATCGACAGTATCCTAATGTCAAGTTACAGTACTAACTCAAGTGACTTCACGCGACTGTCTGTCTAATTGTGGTGACATCAAGTACCAAAACTTCAATATGGCCACTTGTACGTCATACCGAAAAATTCTAAATGGCCGTCTGTACATGACCAATGGAGCCACAGTGTGGAGCAGCCATGCAAATGTCATGATACCTTGCATGAGCACACGACGAGAAGCTAGAGTACAGCAACAATTGAAACTAGCTTCCAAAAACTTACTGTATTTACTTCTTGAGAGAGCACTCATGCTTAGCCGTAATTATTCTAGGCTTTTGAGGGCTTAGCCTTTCAACTAATGAATAAAAAACAATTGAAAACTTTTGTGTCAGTACCCCCTTCCATTAATATTATTTAATTAGATCTGTCCACAAGAGTTGCCTGATATGAGTGTGCCATCACAATGGATACCAAATAGTACCCTCACCTTCCTGCCATTTGGATGTACTCAGCAGGCAGCAGGTCCCGATTACTAATGCCATCATGTTTACGGATGCTGTCAAAAACAACTGTACGAGCTGGCATGTTGACACCCATAGCAAATGTCTCCGTGGCAAACAGCACCTTGAAAGAAAAGCATAAAATACTTCTCAGGCATTTATTCAACGCTTTTTGGAACAAGCAAGCTTCATTGTTAGAGCATAAGTTAGTAAACAGGAAATTAACCCTTACCATGCAACAATTTGGTATCCTTGCAGAAGCACTGGGATTCAATATGAATGGAAGCAAAAAGTAGTGAGTCGTAAAAATAAGCAAAAAACTTGTAGAGAATACACAGAAAAAGAAGGAAGTAACTGTAAATTATGGACATAAGGGTTTGGATGAAAACAAAAGAAAAAGAAGCAAGAATCTCTAGGCAGCCTTGAAATCATACTCCTGCAAACCAAGTACCCAATGACCAAGGTGACTCATTCTTAGCAATGAAAGCCAGCAAAGTTTGGTAATGACTGTGAAGTGGCGGCTGTGGATATATGGGTGAAATTTATGTACTTCCCAAACAACAGTAAGGTGCTCCTGCTTGGTTATGGTGTAATTCTTTTCTGCAGTGGTCAGAGCACAACTGGCAAAAGCAAGAACTCATTCATACGAGGCATTGTCACATTGCAGAAGGGCCCAGAGACAATGAATGCTTGCACCAGCATGATGGATAGTGAATGCACCTGAATCAAGGTGGCACACTACTGGGTCAGATGTGAGGGCTTGCTTCGAAGCCAGGAAAACACTTGCACACTGTTCGAACCAAACAAAGCACACGATATTTGGGAGGAGTTGATGGAGAGGAGATGCAATGGAGCTCCACGAAGTCACGTATGAAGCATTTGAAGTAAGATGCTAAGCCAAAAAACAACAACTGTGCAGGTCTTTTTGGTGCAGCAGACAGGGAAAGTCAAGGAATGCAGAAAGCTTACCATGTTCTGGTTAAATTCCTGCTTTGCTAAGTATCCTGGAATCTTGATTGCATTGCTAGCAAAGCTACATTTCTTTTTAGCATTCAGTTGAAAGCTAGCTTTTGCAAGGAAGGCTAGGACTTCTTCGGGACATTGCAGATGTTGTGGGAATGTGGATGAAAACATGACTATGTCATTGAGATAGCATGAACAAGTCTCCCACTCCAGATCACACAATGCATTATCTACCATGTGTTCAAAGGTAGCAAGCACATTACAAAGTCCAAAAGGGCTGACACTAAATGTGTACAGCCTAATTGAGGTAAAAAAAGCTGTCTTCTTTCTGTCGAATTTGGACATCGGTATTTGCCAGTATAGCCCGATCACAGACCAAGGCTAGAAAAAATACTTCGTGCCATGCAGACAATCCAGTACATCATCAGCAAATTTCTGCCAAAAGAATGGTGTTGGTTCAACAGGGTTAGCAAATCTTTACTCTGGGATGCTGTCATATCAGGACTTACGGTGGCCGACAAAGGTGTGGAAAAAGAAGCTGGCTTAACGCATTCAACAAACTGGCGAACCATACACCTTGTACATTTAGGATGTTCTTGCATTGTGCAAGCACGTGAGCTCCGTCATACCCTAGACTAACAGAATATGTATAACATATTATTTTACAATATAGTATATACATTTACAATATATATGCACTGTACCAACATGACACAACAAAAAAATTAATGGGCAAGTGTTGTGCTCAAGCGTGGGAACACGTGCAATGCACTGAACAATGTGAGTACCTGATGCAGACCTTCTTGTTCAGCGCCACCTTGTCAGACAGATAGCAGTCAAATCCAGGGGCACAAGCCAAATATGAAGTAATTTTGCCAAGGTTTCGAGCTAGTGAGGCATGTAAAAGAAAGCTCACATGGTTTGGCAAACTAAAGCCGGGGATGAAAATTACACCTGAGTCTCCAATCAATTCTGCTTTCCAGCCCTGCCGTGGTGGTCTAGTGGCTAAGGTACTCAGCTGCTGACCCGCAGGTCGCGGGTTCGAATCCCGGCTGCAGCGGCTGCATTTCCGATGGAGGCAGAAATGTTGTAGGCCCGTGTGCTCAGATTTGGGTGCACGTTAAAGAACCCCAGGTGGTCGAAATTTCTGGAGCCCTCCACTACGGCGTCTCTCATAATCATATGATGGCTTTGGGACGTTAAACCCAACATATCAATCAATTCTGCTTTCCACCAGCTGCTCTGTTGTGGATCGCAATGATTGAGAAACCTTGCAGCAAGGCAGTAGAAAAACATATCTTCAGCAATGAAGAGCCCACGAAAGTGGCTCGACGTTATTCAAATGCTATTCATAATAATATTATAAGCAAATAAATTCATTTCTGCCAGCTTCTTTAAGCAACCACTACCAAAATAGTCAGTAGGCAGCCATCTTCTATTTTGCTTGTACGAGCGCACTGCCCAGTTATTACATGACAGTGTATTTTTGGTCAGCATATCATTGAGCTGTTTAGAGCACGCACACCATTCTGACATCATGAGTTTTCATGGTTTTGTGCCACTGCATGACTGGCAGGCAAATGATTAATTGATATGTGGGGTTTGACGTCCCAAAACCACCATATGATTACTAGAGACGCCGTAGTGGAAGGTTCCGGAAATTTTAACCACCTGAGGTTCCTTAACATGCACACAAATCTGAGTACACGGGCCTACAGCATTCTCGCCTCCATCGAAAATGCAGCTGCTGCAACCGAGCTTCGATCCAGCAACATGCGGGTCAGCAGCCCAGTACCTTAGCCACTAGACCACTGCGGCGGGGGACTGGCAGGCAATATTAGCACAGTCCGAAAATTTTTTACCAGTGGCAAAGGACTATAGGCAAGGAAGATGCAGTATCATAACTATTTATTCTCTTATATTCCACTTAAAGTATCCATGGGAAGTCATTATGCGATGCAACATTTTGTGACTTTTGCTGCATCACATGATAGACAAGTGCTGTGAGCATGGCTTAAATGATTTTGCCCTATCACGGAGAGCCAGAAAGGAATACAGAATTCCTTTACATTATTTCATACCATAATTACTATGTATATATATTCATTTCCATCTTCCAAGTAACTACATAATAGCAAATTTATTTCGAAGCCCACATGTCAAGCCGGAAAAAAATATTCAGACCAGGAATAAAATTAATAGGTCATGTATAAAGTTTTAATCATTATCATCACGTCAGTGGCACAGTCAGATGAATGACAAAATTGAACCATGACCCTTTGAAAAAAAATTCTGGCTTCTCCTCGGTGATATCTAACGTTGTAACAAAGTACCAGTCACCCATTGAATATTGAAAATTATAAAGCACTGGATCAGAGATTACACAATAGATCTTTAGCCATGCCACTGAACACTTACAATGTCTTAATTTTTCATGTCTAAATAAAAAGAAAAGTACAACTTACTATGTATAGTACCATAACTTAATTTCCTTTTTTTATTTTCTTTATTTTCACTTTAATGGATACTCGTCCCTTTACTCAGTTTCGAAAAATGTAGCACGCTTACTTGTACTAGTTTGTCCCCAATAAACATGTACTTCATTCCTCATGATGCAAGAGCTTCAGTGTTCACGCTTGTGACACTGACCTTCACAAGGCCACGCTGAAAGAGCATCTCGACAGCCTCCTTGAGAATGGGCAGCACACCACTGTGATGAACACCAAAGCCAGCTTCCAGGAGACCTCGCAGTGAGCGTAGCTGTGGTAACCGCTGGTCGGCACGGCTCAAACGGGATATCACGCTATTCTGAAGGAAGCACCGCACTGCCCCCTTCTCCTCAGCTGTGGTCAAGTCAAGTGATTGCAACAACTGGGCATTTTCATCACAACGTCGACGTGACAGGGTGAAGCAGATTGCTGGCAGCCGGTCTGCCTTGCGTAGGTGCTGTATCAAACCTTGATAGCGGGTCTTGTCCTAGGAAATACAAATGAACATGACAACAAGATTATCAACTCAAGATTCTAATTTATTTTTTCGTTTGCACTAATGACACTGACACAATTACACAGCTGTTTTTTTCTACAAAAATAAAAAAATTGCAAATCTCTTCTACTTTTTTTCAATCCTGTATATTCATTCCTTGGCGCTAACACATGCATTAGCATTATCATTTCCTCTTCATACCAGAGAGCTTGCCAATATTTTGCAACAAGTTCAGTGGTCAAAGCTTCATGGCTTGACGAGCACTGTTGGAAGAAGAAGCAGTCTACAAGACAAGACATGAGGCAGCATGCAACGTCAGCATGCTGACGTCCAAATATCAGCAGCAAATATCAGCAGCGTCCAAATATCAGCAGCATCCAAATATCAGCAGTAAGCAATGACCCAGATGAGCTGAAAATTGAAGTGAAATAAAAGTTAATGCAACTATTTGAAGCTGCAATTTCACTAGTAGTGGTTGTCTTAGGATATCACCTATACAGGCACAACTTGAAAAATATTCAGTTAACCATGTATATACACACGGAAGGGAATTATTGTCCACTTGTGAATCTCTTCAATTACATCTACCTGAAACACTGCAATTTTCCATTCAGGGTATGTCTGACTCCAAATATCTGAATTCACAGTCATGAATCGAAATTGAGGGTACGCTAACACAAGAAACATTGTGCTGTTCAGTGCGCAATGCTTTGCTTTTATCGCGCTCACGCTGCTCGTTATATTATAGTCCTCCATGACCACACATTTATTAAGAATTATCTGACAACCACAATTTTCATGGTGGTCAGCCATGTGGCTGGGGACCAAGCCTTTCAGAGACTAAGCAGCGACCTCAACCGATCATTTATGGATCAGCCCGTTTTGCTGATTTAACAACGTCCTCAAGTAAAAGGAATTTTGTACACAATCACTGAAACACATCCAACATAACACGTGGTGTGTTTTTTAGCGCAAGCTTGTTTCTTAGGTCCTTCACTATTAACTCAGCGGCATAGGCCAGCCAGCTTGGCGTGTGCGCAGAGAACAACTATTACACCTATTTTGCCTGCAAGCTTCTTTAGCGTGTGTGAAAATTTATGTACATAGGAAATAACAGTTGGCTGGAGTGAGGTATGATTTGTTTGACGATGTCCACTGGCGATAAGAGCCACAGTCAAAGAAAAGCCTTCTTCTTTTCACATCTGCGCATTCTAAATTGATCAAGCGAAGCATCGCTCATTCCTGCCTAGACACAGCTTCAACTTGCTCTTGTCACCACCAGGTCGATAGTTTTATGCACCAAGTGCACCATCCTCAACAGCCCCTGACAACTTCATTGCTACACTCTCCTGAAGTCACTGAGGGTGCCCAATAAGGAGCAAAGCAACAGCCAACTTATCACGTCTCACTCTAGCATGGCTGTTATTCCCTACGTACATAAAGTTCTGCACAGGCTAAACAACGTTGCAGGCAAAATAGGTGTAAAGGTTGTCCTCTGCGCACCTGGCAAGCTAGCTGAACTATGCCATAGGGTTAATAGTGAAGGGCCTAAGAAACAAGCATCCACTATGAAACACGCTACACGCTTTGTTGGATGTGTTTCAGTGATTGTGTACAAAATTTCTTTCACTTGAGGGCACTGTTACATCAGCCAGAGGCCGGTGCATAAATGATTGGTTTAGGGAGCACGCTTTCTCTCCGAAAGGCTCTGACCCCAGCCATTTGGCTGACCACTATAAAAATTGTGGTTGTCAGCTATTTTTGATGAATGTGTGGTCATGAGGCACTATAGTATAACGAGCAGTGTGAGCACGAGATTAGTGAAGCATTCCACACTGAACAGCATGATGTTTCTTTTGTTAGCGTACCCTCAATATCACTTCATAACTGTGAATTTAGACATCTGGGGTCCACTGATGTGACTAAGTCTGGGTAGCGTTAACCATGTGGCCTTTATCATATCTATGTGAATTTACGCTACGTTTTGTGGTTTCTGCACACACCTTGTGTCTGATATATTGCTCTTGTTTTGCAATAAACAATGGTTGTTAGTCCAGAACTGTGTTTGCATTCGCTTTTCAATTGTCTCGTCCTTTGGGCTGTTTTAGTCGTCATCTATCATGCAACACTAACCAGCCCAATCAAGCACACTGTTAATGTCTGCCTCCTTAAATGACCCATTTTAACAGGCATTTTTGTACATTCACAGTTAATATTAAGAACATATTCACTATAACCAATATACAGATAGGTTAATAAATAATGATTTATTCTTAATGCACCTGAAGAACATTGTTTCAGTATGGTTGAAAATGTTGCCCATCAGAAATCGACGAGGCTCCTAAGAACAAGAGAGGTAAACATTATAGCGCTACATGTGGCCTGGAATTTACAATTAATTCTCAAAATCAGGTAGAAATCTCTCACTCCTCTCCTGAAAAATAAAGCCACAAACCCAAATGGCCCCACAATAAGCCAAAGTCCATCACCATTGGCTCAAATGAGCATCGTCAGCTGAATAGTTACTGCTACTGCCGTGATATTCTGCCATGTGCCCGCACAATGAAACTATAAGTAATCTGCGCGATCGAGCAAAAAACGAAAAAAGTGCTCAAGGGTCATGACAAGCGCTGACGAAAAGACTCATCTTCTTGCCCCCTTGTCATCTGCCCTCCTGCATAGCTTTCAGTGTGCTCACTGACATGAACAGAGAGAGAAAACGCTTAAAAGTGCACCACATTCCTATCCCTCTTTCCATACTTGGTGGATTCTAAAATTTTTTGCGGCAGTCGATTCATGCAGAAATAAAATTCTTTAATGAAGGCATTCCATGATTATTTTTTAAAATGTTGCAGGGACCTCTTAAGCTTGGTATACAAATTACCCAAGGAATGCAAAAAGTGGTATACTAATGAACACCTGAAAGAACATGGCAGTGTCCCTTGTCCATTTATGTTATAAACAGTCTTCCTTTCTTTCCTTTTTTGAATGCAACAACCATGTACCTAACAGTTGTATTTTCACAGGATTATGCACTTGTCACCGCATATCAGCATTAGATGCGACAAAATAAAATATTCTGGTGCAATTGCTTTCGGAACTGTTTGAAAATACTATCTTCATGCAGGTAAAGATTGCTAACAGTGACATGCCATTACCCTTTACAACGGTTTGGTCTTTTTTTTTTTTCTGAACTTTCTTTGGTGTTTTATTTTACATCATAAGTGAGCTTCAAACCATAGCACCACTGAGGCTGTCCTTGCATCACTAAATATTTCTTTCTTGGCCTCCATCTGTTTTGAAGCAGATGACATAGCTGTTGCACCCCCTGAGATCCTTCATGCTACATCGCACCCACTGCAGTGTCAGTTCTTTAGACGCGAAGCACCTTATGGTAGGGGCTTGTCCCTTCTCCGTCGTCATAGCCACGCTAGTACTCGGAGCACCCACCAGATAGCTCTGGGGTAGAGCGCTCGCTCCACTTCAGTGTGTGCTCTGATATGAGTGGAGACAGCTAGCTGCACTGCGTTTCTTTGTATAATCAACGCCTCCTAGAAAAACTATACTTGCAACGTCGCACTCTTTTTAATTGGGAGCTTCCTACCAGCACACAATCCCTGAGGCCATGCCTCCTGTCATGTGTTGCGACTGGCCACCGCTTGCGACCGCTCGCGCCTGTACCACTCTGTCATGTGACATCACAGCTGCTCGGATGCAACTATGAGAGCATTGCTGTGTTGGAGGGGGGCAACGGCCAGAAGCGTTCGCCTTTGTATCGGAGGGGGAGGGTAAAATCTGAGGGTAGGGCAGCACGTTCGCGGCTCACATTCCAGGCAGAGTTTTTTTCAGAAGGCATTGGTATAATGAAATTACTTGCTCCTCTTAGGTGGCTCGGCGGTAGAATGCTCGCTCTAATTCGGCGCGTGCTCTGGTATGAGTGGAGACCGCTAGCGGCACTGCGTTGCTTTGTATAATAAAAGCGCTTACTACTTCTCTCTCTCACACACACAGCCTAGTAAAGTCGATGCCGGATATATCAAACTTGAAGGGGACCACGAAATAGTTAAATATATAGATATTTTGAAATAGAAAATATATGTACTTAAGGCATAAATTAGTGCATCTATGTGTTCGAAACAGTTTTCGAAAATCGTAAAAAGCGCTTACATAATGATTCACTCACAATATGGTAAAGAATAAGGTGTGAACATCTTTGGAAGTTACTGCACTTCATTTAATTTGAAACTTGTCTTGCTTCTTGCGCACCATCAAGTTCCCGTCATCCATAATATCACAGAAACTTTCCAAATAAGCAAATTCAGCTCATTAGGCCACAACAACGGTAATTGACACTGAACGCTAATATAAGCTCCGTAGAGGATTAAAAGTTTGGTTAGTGACAGACACAACGCACTTCTGCCATACCGGCAACGTCAGCCATGATCTCGGCATCAATGCAATCAGAAACAGTGACGTTGTCATCTGCACCAATAAAGCCCTCTTACTGTCCAAGATGGTGCCCAGAAATGCAAACAACTAGAATTCACTGAGGCATCATATGCCGTTGTCAGCAGTCATGACGCACCCACAGTCGTCACCTCGCACCAAAGCCCACAAGGAAACAGTTTATAAAAATGCTTTAGTTCATGTCGCTCCTAGCTCCACTCAATATTATTATCGCTGTGAGTGGACCAATGTTTAGTTCCGACTTCCAAAAGATGATTTATCAGGAATGGGGTGAGAAATACACAAACCGCAAAAGACAACGCTGCTAACGAGCAAGCTTCCACCGTCAACATATTGTTGATAGCAATGTGCAATGTCACTAGTGGCTTTGTCGTTTTGTAGCAGGCAGCCGCTGCTTTGGTGCGGAAAACTAGAAAAAAGCGTAGCCTCTGAGATACGTGTTCCTAAACCGAAAACACCAAAATATGTCACGAGCTTGCACATCTCAAGACCATGCTTCTTGATCCCGCGTGCCATCGTGCACA